CCTCCGTGCTGGTGCCGGAGCTAGGCTGCGCCCTGGCTGGTGTTGGTGGGACTTGGGCCCTGCGCTGGAGCACCTGCTGGGTTGCCCTTCTCTTAGCTTGGGTTGATCCAAGCAGCCCGAATTTTATTTTATTTTTTCTGCTGTCTTCGTTTTTTTTGTTTTTGCTGCTGCTGCTATTTTTTTTCTTTTCGACTTGCGAATTTTTCCGGTATTCTAACTTGTAGAATTCTTTCTTTTTTGCAGCTACTCGTTGACCAACCATGTCTTCCGGGGACGGTAGCAAGGCTCCAAGCTCTCAGGCACCTTTATATTTGTGGGGAGGCTCCCTAGTGCCTAGCAAGAAATTGGTGGCCAACTTGCACCCCATGACGACCGACGCTCAATTCCAGAAGTGGCGGGCTGCCTTCACGTCTGCCATTCTAGATGACGTGCAGGTCAAGCTGCTGAAGTCTCGGACTACTGATAACGAGCCTTTGGGAGATGCGAATGATCCTGGCGCTAGGGTCATTACCTTCCGTCCTTTTTACTTCTCCTTGGGCTTCAAATTCCCACTATCGAAGCTCTTCAAGAAGGTGTTCTGCGCCATGGAGTGTGCTCCGAGCCAGTGTACTCCCAATGTTTACTGGGCAATCATGTGCTTCAAGAATCTGAGCCTTTCTTCACGTTGGAGTTGACAGTGCGTGAGTTCTTTTATTTTTTCGAGGTGAGGCACTTCGAGCAGTATGCCCAAGTTCGCACCTACAAGACCAAGCTGTTCGACGGTCTTAGTCAGGGAGATCACGCTTGGCATGACGACGTGTTGGAAGTTAGCGGACGGTGGGAGGGCGACGTTGATGACGGCCTACTTGTTCCCATCACCTATTGTCATAGTATGTCTTTTGCGATTTTTGATATGTTCATTTTTATTTGAATTTCTTAAAGTGTGGTTGACTAACTTCTGTCTTCTGCTTATAGTGAGTGACATCAGCAAGCAATTGGAGCTTGGACCAGACATGGCTAAGGTCTGTCGTGCTTTGAACATCCCTCAAAAGTTTCGCTAGTGGCGCTGGCTGTTGAGCGAGTACCGAGAGGTAGACGGTGGTCTGCCCCTTGCCGAGAATGTCGAAAGGTGGAAGCAGAATGGTCCTGACCCTGACGATCCACTTGCAGGACAAGAAGAGTGTTCTGCTGAATCTCTGCCAAAGAGAAATGCTGCTACCAAATCTTCAAGAGGTGAAGCTGCTTCTTCGCACGCAAAGAATGGGTCTCCATCAAGAAAGAAGCCAAGACTCCCTTCTTCTGAGAAGACTCAAGTAGGGTCTGCTCCGTCATCGTCTGCCAGGGTCAAGCATCTTGTGGGTGCAGATAGCACGAAGGTTGGTGGTATGCGAGGTGCTCAGGGTGTTCTGCCCGAGCCTCCTGCTGACATGCTCAAAAACCATGACATGCTTTGTGAGACAGCTCGTGCCCAGCCTAGTTCTGCTGAGCGTCAAAGAGATGTAGACATTCCTCCTCGAAGTTCGAGTCGTCTGTATCGGTCAAAAGATGGAGATCGAAGTGGGAGGTCTACTCATGATCCAGCTATTGAGCCGTGGGCAGTCAAGCGTGGAGTTGATTCAGTATCATTGACTCCTTTGGAGATGAAGTTGGCGGAGGCTAAGAAGATGAGAGAGTCATCTGCTCGGGCTAAAGGTTCTTCTTCAGCGACGACGGTCATTCCCAAGGTGGACAAGTCTAGCCCTGCAAGGGATGCATGTATGTCTGATCTGCTCAAGACGAATTTCCTATCAAACCCGTCCTCATGTGCTGAGCTAGTTGATCACATCCGTCAGGCCGGTGATCTTGGCACTTTCAAGAGCCTTTCCTTGGAAAAACAAAGGGAAGAGGCATTCCATCTGATTCAAAAAGGATTGGTTTTTGCTACAGAGACCATTTGGAACTCATTTGCTGTTGCCCCTTCTTCTGCTCAGCTCAGCGAGCTGGAGAAGAAGAATGCTGAATTGGCCAGCCAGCTTTCCGTCGAGCAGGCTCGTTGTGAGAAGAAGACGCATGATTTGAGGGAAATGATATCTTAGCTGAAAAGCTCCCTTAACGAGAAGGATTCTGAGCTCAACTCTCTTGCCGCTGATTTGGTTAGTCGCAAAGATGCCTTCTTTGGTCTTGAGCATAAGAATGCTGACATCTCCCTTAGTTATGACAAGCTCCTGGCTAGATTTCATGCATACCACAAGTCCGCAGAAAAATCCAAGTTTGAAGCCATCATAGATGCGTACAAGTTGGGCTACCTGCACTGTGTGGATGAGACTACTCCCTTGTATGCGATTGACGACGTAGACATCGAGACACTCTACCCTGATTTACCCCGTGTGGAAGGAGGAACTGAAGAGCAGGCAATTAGAGAGGATGGGGCGGAGGAGGACGCAGTAGATGAGATAATGGCAGATGTTACGGAGCAGGCAGATGAGGCTGCTGAAGGCATAGCTGATCAGGTGAATGCCGAAGAGGCTGCAACTCAGAGGTCTCCTGCTGGCACCTTGGAGTAGATGAAGACTTCTTTGTTTCTTTTCAACTTTTATAGTTCGCTTTCTTGTTTAGAATAATTGGTTTTATTTGACCATCTTCTCTTTGTTGAACTTTGGCAGATTGATCAGCTTGTTATGGAAACTTTAGTTTATTTTTCACTTCAATTTGCGTATTAATTTGTGAACTACTTGAGTAACCAGCCTGTGTCTTGATTGCACATCTTCTTCGGAGATTTATGAGTGACAGGGTTCCTCTTGAGGGATTCCGAGCGTATTCTGCATATCCTGTATGATGTTTTTCCTTTAGGAGGTTGGCGAGTGCCAGGGTCCCCCTTGAGGGACTTCGGGCGTGTTCTGCACATCCTTTAGGATGGTTTCCCTTCGAAAGTTGGCGAGTGTCAGGGCCCCCCTTAAGAGGCTCCGGGCGTGTCCTGCACATCTTCTTCGGATGGTTTCCCTTAGGAAGTTGGTGAGTGCCAGGGTCCTCCTTAAGAGGCTCCGAGCGTGTTCTGCACATCCCTTAGGATGCCTTGGTCGTCGCCCTGCGTCTCCCAAAAGGCGCTGCTTATGGGCAATTGTGTGTCTATCTTGCCTCCCTTAAGAAACGGATAGGAACTTGGATATTCCCTGCATAAGGCATGAAGACCTCCTTTTAAGAAATTCCTAGCGTACTCTGCGTCTCCCTTAGGACACTTTTTACGGGATGCGTCTCCCGAATGACGCTTTGGTTGTCTCCCTTAGGACGCTGCTTATGGGCAATTGCGTGTCTATCCTGCCTCCATTAGGAAACGAATAGGAACCTGGATACTTCCCGCAGAAGGCATGGAGACCTCATTTTAAGAAATTCCTGGCGCACCCTGCGTCTCCCTTAGGACGCTTTTTACGAGCTGCATCTCCCGAAGGACGCTTTGGTCGTCGCCCTGCGTCTCCCTTAGGACGCTGCTTATGAGCGACTATTTTGCGGTGATCTGCCTGCCAATGAACTGTGAGCAGTTTTCGGTAACCAGTGATTGTGGGCAACCAAACCTGCAGATGATGTTTCTCCAAATGAATCACTCAACATCGGCTTCTTTAATAGAGTATAGAGCTTCGGCCTCGATCCATTTAGTATAATAGTCGGTGGCGATGATCATCATGTCCTTCTTGGCGGGCACGGGTGGCAAGAGTCCCACTAAGTCAATGACCTATTGCATGAATGGTAGACTTCGACAGGCAGGTTAGGGATCGGCTTGTATCGCTGGCATCGATCACATTTCTTGACATATTTGGTAGAGTCGTGGCGCATGGTAGGCCAGAAGTAGCCTATGTTTAGAGCATTCCAAGCGAATAATCTACCCCCATAGTGGTTATCACACTCGCCGTCATGAATTTTGCAGAGAACCTCAAGTGTTTGAGGGTACCTTATGTAGGTGAGATGAGGGCCGAAGTATGATCTGCGGATGAGCTTGCTGCCGTGCATATAGTATCTCGCGGCCTTCTACTGGACCTTCCTAGCTTCGGACTTATCCGTTGGTAGGTTCTTATTCGCTAAGTAGTTGATGATAGGGTCTTTCCAGCTGGGGTCCTCGTCAATTTGCATTATGTCGATTGGCTCTATTTCTTCAATGCTTGGTCGGTCAAGGTGTTTAACCGGGATGGAGCGTCTGCATGCGCGTTCTCTGCCCGAGGGCATTTGTTGGATGGTGAAGGTAGGAAATGCCTTTCACAACTCTTGGACTTTGTCAAGGTACAAGATCATCCTTGGATGCTTCGCCATGTATTCTCTTGACGCTTGATTCGGGATCAACTGGGAATCTAAGTAGATGACTAACTTTTTGATTGCGCGTTCTTTTGCCAAGCGCAGGCCGGTGAAGCCAAACGTGATAGCTTGCTTCAACTAGGTTCCATCCGGGTGATGATGACTACACCTGCTCAGCAGAGGTCCCGTCTGCTTTTAAACTTTCCTTCTTTCGAACTTTCCTTCTCTTCTTCGTCGATGGGGTGAATTCTGCTACGAAGTCTGCTAAAGTCTGGGCTTTTATTGCAGCTTTTGGCAGGTAGATGAGGTCATATTGGCTTAGCTCTATAGCCCACTTCATGAGTCGCTGAGAAGCGTCAGGGCTGTGGAGGATTGATCTCGAATGAAAGTCGGTCATGGCGATGACTCGATGAGCTTGGTAGTAGGGTCACAGCTTTCTCGCGGAAACTAAAAGAGCCAAAATGAGCTTCTCCAATTTCGGGCAGCGAGTCTCTGCATCGAGGAGAGCTTTTGAAGTGCAGAATACTGGATGTTGGGCCCCTAACTCTTTTCGGATGAGAACTGAGCTGACAGCTGAGTTAGACACTGCCAGGTACAAACAAGTCCTCACCAAGGACTAGCTTTGAGAGCAGGGAAGGTGAAGTGAGATAAGTCTGCAGATTCTGGAAACCTACTTCGCACTCCTCATCTCATTTGTCTTTTTGTCCTTTCTTCAAAGCTTTGAAGAATGGTCTGCACTTGCCGGTTGCTCTCGAGAGAAATCAGTTAAAGGTCGCTGCTCTGCCCAGAATGCCGTTGTATGGTGAGACTTCATCAATGACCATGAATGTTTGCAAGCTTACTACAGGCGGGGAGTAGACGTCGAGGTCTATCGTGCCCACGGTAACTGTTATTGCACCATTAAAGCCGGTCAACGATCTTGCTGATTTGTTGATCTTTGTCTCTAGGCCCATCTGCTGGATGACCGCCAGTTGTAGGATATTGGTTGCGCTGCCCTCGTCTGCATGGATTCGGTTGACCATGGCCTGAGCGATTTGAATGATGATGACAAGGGCGTCATTATGTGGCACATCGAGACCGATCAGATCTTTCTTTTGAAAGCCGATTACAGGATCATCTTCTGCTGGTGGAAAGTCAGTCGAGACTTGGGAGATCATGGTGGCATGTTTGATCTTCCTCTTCTTTTCCTTGCTGGTCAGCTCTGACTCCTTGGCGTCGGCTAGGATTATGTTAATCCTTATGACATTCTGGGGTGGCTTCTTGGCGGTGTCTTGATCTTCAGTCCGCTGGATGGCCTGCTTCGAGATGAATTCCATGCAATGACGTTCTCTCACGAGTTCTTCAAGGTGTGTTTTCCAAGCAAAGCAGTTGTTCGTAGTATGTCCGTGTGTCTTGTGGAAGACACAGTATTTGCTAGTATCCCTCTTGTTCGGATCTCTTTTCAAGGGTGGCGGCGATTCGATGTATGGGGATGGTAAACTTGGTGTAGTTTTCTCATGCCACAACGTCTTCTTGTGGGTGTAATCTTCGCTTGTCCTTGTTCTTGTTGCTAAATTCATCGCTTCTTTGACATGCCCGCTTAGTAAGCTGATTCTCCTGCTTAGTAGACTTTTTTGCGGCTATTCGATCGTCATCCCAGAGCGCGTAGCATTTTGCGAGCGCATAGCATTCCGCGGTTGCGTAGACCTCTGCCAGAGTCTGGCTGGGAGTGATAGTCAGCTTGCAATACAAGTCGTGTTCAGCTGGAAGACCTTTCTTGAAGGAAGATGATGCGATTCGGCCGTCACATCCTACAATGTTGGCATTTTCTGCTTTGAATATCTTGATGTAATCCCGAAGGGATTCGTCAGACTTCTTGCGCAGGTTATACAGGTGGTCAGGGTTCTTCTTGATCACCCGGTAAGAGGTGTACTCTTTGGTGAAGACGTAAGCCAACTTCTTGAAGCTGCTGATCGACCCGGATGGTAAGGTGTGGAACTAATCTTGGGCTGCCCTCGCAAGGTCATTACAAATACCTTGCACATCAGCGCGTCGTCAGCCTTGTGGAGGATCATGAAACTTTTGAAGTGTAGATGGCTCTCGGGATCGGAATCCCCTTTGAAGTGGGTAAACGAAGGCGTTGAGAACCGCTTCGGGGGAGTAGCCTGCTCGATTTTGGCCGTGAAAGGTGTGGAGTTTGCCTGGTCGATCTCCTTACGTAGTACATCTTCGAAATTGCCTCCGGTCTTCAAGTCTCGAAGTCGGTCATTCACAAGCTTTTCTACGTCCTCCACACACATTGCTGGTCGGTCTCGTTGGCGACGCTGATTGACCTCATCGTGGGTCTGCGAGAGTCGACCTTCTCATTTTTGCGCTGCCTAGGCGGCGTGTTGGTGGACTGCGCTTGCGAGAGATTCTCCGTAGCTTGTCAACGAGAACTGTCTCTTCGAGAGTAAGCAGCGGAGCACCTTTCCTCGTGGTCCTCATTATGAGGATTATCCGGTTGACCACCCTGGGGACCTAGCATCTCGTGAATGCTCCTCTGCGAGTGGACAGCTGAGCGTCTTTCTTCACGATCCTCGTTGTGATGGTTGTCTGGCTGACCTCCCTGGAGGCCTAGCCTTTGAAGTACATTTCCCTGCGGGCTCAAGCGGGCGTGGATGTCAAGTCGTGGGCCTAGCATCTCGCACATGTTGTTCCTCAAACTCAATCTGCTCCGAGTGGGGCTCGCAGATGCTTGTGACATGTCGGCAGGCCGATCAAGTTGTTGTCCCTCGCCTTGTCTGCCCACTCCTGCTCGACCTGCTGGGTACCCGTTGAGTTGCCTGCCGGTGCATTCTTCCATCCTTCTCTCTTCGCCCGGTTGTCCAAGGCCAAGGTTTTAAGCCAAGCTGATTTGGTGGAGGAGTTGCCTCATCAGATCGCTTTAGTCATCCATTCTCTAAGCTAGCTGGTTAACTCTCAGACTAAGGTCTGCTTGAATTCGTGGATCGGGAGGAGAGAAGTGTGTGGAGCCCAATTGCACACGGGCTAAGGTTTCATTGGATGTGTGCCGGGAGAGTGCGTTGAGCGTGGAGGCAATGGAGGGAACGCTTGAAGTTGCTCCAAGACCGGGCCTAAGTCGGCGGTGGTAACAAGCCCACCTTGATGGGAGGTTCCACCATGTTCGGTGGCGGTGGCCGGTGCGTGGTGAGAGGTGGTGGTGCCACCATATCGATCGCGGGATCGTGAGCGGAGTGGCTTTGGGCCGTCGCGGATTTAGCCATCGCGGCGGTTTTGCCTCTCGTCTTCATGCTTCCAACCATGATTGTTTGGAAGGCTTCGGTGGATTGGAAAATAGGAGGAACGGATTCCTTGAGCACGCGTTGAGTATAACTCGTGCTCTCAATGAAAGCACCAATTTGAGTATACAAATTTCCCCACGAGAATATTCGATTAGAAAGATTCCCCTTTCTTCTTCGCCGCCTCCTTCTCTCTGCAAAATAGAACCAATAAGAGGACCACACCCCGGGGGTATTGGCCAAAGGCCCTCTGATGCCTAAATTAGTTCAATTGAATCGTATAGAAAACAATAGCTAATAGGGTACGGAGATGTGTTTATGGTGTAAACCGGGCGGCCGGAGCCTTATGTAAAAGAGAGAGAGAGAAAGGAGGTGGCTAGGGTTTGAGAGGAATTTTCTGCAGAGTTTCAATAGGGATTTCAAACGTATCTCAACCCTTATGTGTGGCTATCCTTTTATAGTGGTCTCGGAGGCTAGGGTTTCAGAGGAATAATTTCGTAGATGGAAGGGAATTATTTCTCTCTTTTTTTGGAATTGATTTGATTAATTAGGGATTTGATTTATTAGGGTAAATCAAATCCCTAATTGTGGTAGGTATCAAATCAAATCATAATTCAATTAGGTAACTCCTCATTTAATTGGGATTCGTGGTAATTAATCAAATCAATTCTCAACCCAATTAGATAATGTTCAATTCAATTGGGTAATCCCCAATTAAATTGAGTAACTCCCAATTAGGTTAATTAATTCCCAATTAGGTCAAATAATCCACAAATGGAATGAATCATTTGACCCAGGGTTTTGATTTAATTTGGTTACCACATTGACGAAAGACATTCCTAGTAAGCATCAATTGACAAAAGGGTCAGCATCAATTGGTAAGTTTTGCTGGACTTCTTGGCAATAGCTGGTCAGGACCCATATATTCTGTATGACATGTTTCCCAAATCAAAGGCAACAATGGAGAAGAACAAAATTTCTAGAGTTTGTGTAACAGGGGCTGCTGGATTCATTGGATGTTCGCTTGTTAAAAAACTCCTAGAGCAGGGCCATACTGTCCATGCCACTCTGAGGAACTTAGGTTGCTCTCTCTCTCTCTCTCTCTCTCTCTCTCTCTCTCTCTCTCTATGAAACTGCTATGTATGCTTGTATTTTATCTGTACAACCCTCTTATCTGTACTATGTATGGTCTCCACATATGATGCAGAGGATGCATCCAAAGTAGGCCTTCTCAAGTCCCTCCCTAATGCAGACAGCAAATTGTTGCTGTTCCAAGCTGACATATATGACCCCAATGAGTTTCAACCCGCCATCCAAGGATGTGAGTTTGTCTTTCATGTGGCCACTCCAAAGCAGCATATCAACCAAAGCTCTCAGGTCAGGCACTCGTACTTTTTAGGCAAGATAACAATCCAATTCAATCATGCACGCCAAATGAAGCCTTGGTTGTTTGATAGTTTGATTATTGAAAGCTGGTGCTTGACAGTTTGAGAATTTGAACATATATGTAGAACAAGGACACAGCTGAAGCTGCTGTTGCTGGGGTTAGGATCATTGCTGAGTCTTGCATTCACTCACAGACCGTTAAGCGACTCATCTACACTGCAAGCATGCTAGCTGTGTCACCGAGGAGAGATGACGGGGTTGGATTCAAACCCTGCCTTGATGAATCATGTTGGACACCTCTTGATGTCTCATTTACTTATGCCACTGATTTTTCAATGGTACCTCTTCTTGCTCGTGAATGAAATTGAGTCTTAATGTTTCATTAATTAAAATTTATCTTTATGTTTGCTTTTAATCTGGAAATATGTTCAAGGGGTATATCATATCAAAGACATTAGCAGAGAGAGCAGTGCTGAGCTATAATGACATTGATAATGGTAAACTGGAAGTGGTAACGCTTCCTTGTGGCTTGGTGGGAGGAGAAACTCTTCTGTCATATTTGGCTACTAGTGTGGGAGTACTTCTTATATCACAACTTGCTGGGGACTCTTTTGGTTACAATGGATTAAAATTGATGCAAGAAGTTAACGGTTCTGTTCCCCTTGTACACATTGAAGATGTCTGCCAAGCACATATCTTCTGCATGGAACAACCATCCATGAGTGGTAGATTCTGCTGCGCAGTTGCCAGTCCGAATATCAACGAAATTGCATGCTACTTCGAAGAAAATTATTCAGAACACAAGATAGCAAAAGAGCATCGATCCTACTTAATTTCAATTTTTTTTTATGACAGTTCCCTACTTTTGATTTTTAACTCCAGAATTTTACTCATTTTCTTTGATCATGAATGTGTCAATTCATCACAGATTCACTGAAAGCATCGAAAGACTAGAAGAAGGAAGCAAATGCGACTTCAGTAAGCTGATGAAGATGGGTTTTGAGTACAAGTATAGCATGAAGAATATACTAGATGACAGTGCAACAAGTGGAAGGAGGTTAACTAGGAGCTCTTTTTCTCAACTTATTTAACTCTTTGTTTTGATCAAAACACAACTAGATGTAATCTGTATAATCATGGCTCAATTGCAAATAATTCAAATTGCAGCACAAGTAAACTTTTAAAAAGGCAATAGCAAGTTTAATAGCTAAAACCAAACAAAGAATGAACATCAGCAGCTTAGATGCAATTACATCTGAATGTTGGGTTCCTCTTCATATTCTAGCAACATTTGCACTACTGAATCCCTTGGTCTTATGTTCCTATCTTCCTCCACACAGGAGATACAAATCTTGG